ATGACATCCCTGTCACAGCCTCTTGTTCATTTTAACGCTTTTGTTGCTACTTATTTCTTCCAATTCTATGCAAACTGTATTTCATAGGTATATTTCTCTTAAAAGTTGTCTACAGTAGTCACCTGTGCCCACTTTTTTCAATATGCACCACAAAATCTTCTAACTTTGTAATACGCCCCAGTGGTGTCCAGATAAGCTACCTTTAAGGGCCTGTTTTCTATTTCAGATATTTTTGTACACTGAGTAAGAACTAAGAGGTTATAGTCTGAACGCCTGTCGATTCCGAATTCATCCAAGGTTCTTCCAATATATCATTTTGCGCTGCCCACGTTTCTGTTTTTAATTTTACTGCCTGCATCGCCAACCTATTCCGTCCATACATCCATCTATGCGCGATGAATCTGGTGAGGATCAGGAGGAGCGCACTCGAAGTGGTGGTGTGCGCAAGTGCAGTGCAAGGCGTGATATCCACAAACAACATAGAGGTGTTAACGTGCGCCGGTGCAGTACGAACAGTGATGAAAAGGAATTGCATCCAAGTGTTCAGCGCGAGTGTGGCTCGCGAGTGGGTCAAGAACTCCGTTTGCGACATGGTGTGCGCGGGACAGAGACCAGTGTTCCAGTATGGCAGTGCGAAGGCTACGACACTGACACTGAACATTACTCTAACTGGAAGACATTTCAAAGTGATACCGACGCACAACAGAATGTCGGCGCTTACGACACGGACACGGAGTTTTATTATAGTGCCGACGAGTGAACTGCATTCATTTCTGTTTCGTAATGATTCCTGTTTTTCACCTGTGGTTTTAAATATGTATTTGTTTTAAGCTTTTATCTTTTAGACACATGTATAAACATCTTTAAATAAGCACCTCACACACTTGTTGAATGCAAAACCTTTCTGTGTTTTTAGTCTACTTCGTTTTGCGTTTTGCAGATAAAACGAGTGGGTCACTCTTTTTCGTATGGGGGAGGTGTCACGAAGGCAATGTCTTGCGAAGGGCTTTTTCTTATTTCGGCTACAGCTATAGTTCGTTCTTTGCCAGATGCTCCTGTTGGAGGCGCTATTTAACGACTTGTCTCGGTGAGGGCGCCTTGAGGAAGAATGAGAATCTGAACAGAAAGTGCTGCATCTGGCCGGTCACTGCGCGCTTCGCGCCAAAGCAGGCACCACGACATGCTTTTGACCAGACTGCAGAAACTAGGTGCCTTTCTCCTTCTTCTAACCACAGTGCCCCCACTCTTCAAACGAACGAGTCGCCGCTTAGGTCCTTCGGGGCAAAAGTAGACCGAAATTTGAGCACTTGTTAGCGCGTCAAGGCCATTTTAGAGAAAGTGCCCGTTTCCAGAAGCTGCCACAGCTTTGTTGCGAGGTAGGCTTCACGCGACCATGAAAACTCGTGTTGGATTGGTTATCCTCGGCTTGCCTGACTGGTCCACGCATCCGTGGATGCTGGAAAGCCTTATTTAGGCAGCGACTTCAGCCCTTTTTGGAATGAGCGGACTTGGGGTCAAGAGCGCGTCTCATCACTGGAGACCAGTCATGCAAGCCGAGGGGTATACCATCATTTTCCGTGTTTCGTATTTGTGACTTAGTGCATTGTGTAAATTTAAATTGTATTAGATAAATAAACCCCCAATGCGCGCTCCCCGAAATCATCGTGTCAACTTGTCATCGCTTGCCTGTGCTGAATTGCTCCCAGTCTTCTTCGTCCGGATGGTCGTCAGATGTGTCTATAGCTTGAAGAACCCCGCAGTTTCGCTACACTTTCGTCATCCAGTCACGTCCCGTAATACTAAATTTGGTATAAGTGAAGCTAGCGAAATGGCCGCAAGCACACCATGAGCGTGGCGTGTAGCCATGTCGTTACATGACACGAAGTTCATAATTTTCATATTAGGGTCTGTCGTTTGTGTTTGGCATGCAATCATGGCATACCATACCAGTTTTGCAATGCCATGTGAACGAAACCACCAAAGAGCTGCAGGAACATGAAATCTAAACTATGACATTCATGACACGCATATTATGATTTTTATGTTATGACTAGTCAAATATATTCTTCATACAGTCATATTACGGCATATTAAGTTTGGTATTGATACCATTATCGAAACGGCCAGTAGGGTTAAATGCTGTAGGCGGCTAGATAGATAGACAGATAGATACGCTCAATGTCACCGAAGTTCGCTAAAAATTCCTTCGCATTTATTAACTTGATAACCTGCTTTCAGTTTCGAATTTAGGAGCTGGTAATTAAAGTGACCGGAAGTTTGGGGAGTACAACGCTTGCAATCTAGAAACCGTCTATACTCTGTTTCAGAACTTCCCTTCAGCACTGTAGAGGCTACTGGAAAGGCATTTAGCCCCTTTACACGTATTCATACGAGCCGTGTAGTCCGCTCATTGTTTCATTTATTTTTATTTATTTATTTATTTATTATTTATTTATTTATTTATTTATTTATTTATTTATTTATTTATCTATCTACACAGCGTCTGCTCGCCTATTCCTCCTTTCACGCCCACTGCTTACGTAAAATGGGTGGAATAATAACTTTAAAAATAAGTAAACCTGTCAGAAAAGTTGTTACACTTCAAGTTCGAGAAGTTTGGCGTCTTCATATAATCATTTGTGGCTCTACTGAAGATCAGTAGACAATCAAACCGGCGGATAACTTCACTTTCTGGCTCTACGACTCTGTTCATGGCTCCGGCATGACTGCTGCTTTGTCAACGCGTTTTCTTTCGTCTCTCGCTGCAATGCTTAGTTTCAATCTTTTTTTAGGGGCGAAGCTCTATAAAGCGACACTCGTTCATCCCTTGTCGTAGTACGTAACACGTCTTACGCTTTGACCTGCAAGGTGGTGTCGGTGGGAGACTTCTCCTGTGCGTTGTTGAATAAAAAATAAAAAAAATCGCGGCGAGCGCGTTAACTAAAAGTTGAATTCTCCTGTCTCTCATTCCCCATTAGCAGCCATTGGCATGTACATTAAGCTACTATCTGACAGGAAAAGGTTGCTACGTTATACTCGCTGAGCGTAACCCCCTTGGTTTTAGAAAGGTTTAGCGATCGTTGGGCCGCAGTGCCATGATTACAGTGAACTAGCATATACCATGAACTCGAGGTGGTTAAACGGTAGAAAATAAATACGAAGCGCAAGTCGTAAGAAAGTAAAAGCCCGATTCTCCTGTCTCTCATTCCCCATTAGCAGCCGTTGACATGTACATTGTCATGCACATGGAGCAAAATCAGACAATAAAGGATTGCTGCGTTATTCTCGCTGGGCGTAACCTCCTTGTTTTTAGAAAGGTTTTGCAAGCGTTTGGCCGCAGTGCCATGAATACAGTGAACTAGTATATACCATGAACTCGAGGTGGTTAAAGGTGGTAAGTAGACACGAAGCGCAAGCCGTACGAAAGTGTGCGTGTGCCACCTTTCGTTTAGCCCTTGGAATGTTCGCTGGATGGCGGTGCTACTATACGCGGAATATACGATGACAAAATGCGAGATGGTGTTACTTAGAGTGTTGACTAGATGGATGAACGGACACACAACTGCATAGATGGACGCACGGATGGCTGCACGGACGGATGGACGCATGGGCGGATGCATGGACAAACGCAGGGACGGAAACACGGATAGACGTGCGGACGCACGAACAGAGGCACGCACGGACGGTCACACAGACGGACGCAAGAACGAATGAGCGGATGGATGCTTCGCCCGTACTCTTCATCATTCACCCCGTGGAGAAGCTGCAATTTGTTTGTTTTTTTTTTACCAAAGGAGCATCCGACGCGTGCAAGACGCTCTGCGAGGTTGCTGTCCGATATTTAGAGGTGCAGCGCTCTTGAACTGGCGACGCAGCCCAAGCCCATGCCTCGGAGCGGTATGCGTATCAGATATGGCTACGCAAACAGCATATCTCGTGAATAACGACCAAACGTACCTGATGCTTCATCCTCAGAACAGTATGAAACGAATAGATGGCTGATTTCACCATTTATTTTTTGCTGTCAGCGCTGTGGGCGTTTAGCTGGAGCAAGTTCGGGTCGAAGCGGGCAGTTGCTTCTGCATGGGGGCTGACATATTGATTTATAACCGTAGTTACTGCCAGTAAGCGACACAAGTCATTAAGTGCGTAAAAAATAAATGCGATGAAGAAAAACATATCACGTATTGATGTGGCGCAACACATCATACAAACACCAATTTCGAACAACCGTGTCATTTTCGAGCCACCAATGTCTGGGAATATATTTCTTTGCGCAAGCGTTTGCTTTCTTACACCCCGTAGCTTTGGCAGTGCTGAAACAAAGGGGTGGAACAGGGTATAAGTAAACGTGGACTTCGACTCTTGAGCGGGTTCGCATGGCACTGTTGCTATAGTGCGTAGGCTTAATTAACATTAAAAAAACCCACAGCACATCCACGCAGTGAACGATGACGAGTGGGGTGAAGCATCCATCAGTCTGTCTGTCTACTTGTCTGTCTCTCTGTCTCTCCGTCTGTCTGTGTGACAGATGGACAGCCGCTTCGACACACTCGTCATAATTCGCTCTGTGGATATGCTGTGAATTTCTTACTCAAGAGTGCCATCTATCCACTATAATTGTGAACTATACAAAAACTACTAGCGCTATCTATGAATACTATTTCCAAGGACATGTACACCACGCCATCTAGGGAGCAATTCTTAAAACTAACTTGAAGTGGCTTCTACTACACAACACTATTACGAGGGAACGACCGGTTCATGCGCGATGTCCTGATGGCACATGGTTCTGCCACAGACTAATGCCTAGGATGTCATCCAAACTCTCCCGTGGCTGATCGGGAATAAGCTGACTTGGGCTTCGCGATTGGGCGATTTTACCATTCCGTTCATAAGTAACTTGCGCTTACGTTCTTGTGCAGCGCCTGCAATTCGCGCTTGCTGCAAGCAGCCCTACAAATGAGCGCTCGAATGCTAATACACATCAATCTTTTCAGTGTGGATATCCAGGAGTGTACTTCTGCTCTCCCTCGCCAAGACTGCCCCGAGGACATGAAGATGGAGCTTGTGCTCACAGGTAGCTTGATAGCAGAGGGGTTTAACGCCCTCTGCGAGAACCAGGGATTCCTCCTGAAAGGTAAGCAATAATCCACTCAGTGGCATCTTGTAAATAATCTGGCGCATAATGAAACGTATTGGCATTATACTTCATAGCTTTCGCATCACCTTATTGAAAACGTCCACGCAAGCTAGCCTTGCTCAAAAAGTTTCTTTTTATTTCATTCTGGCATCCTTCTCATGCATTCTCTCACCTGTATTTTGTTTTACGGCGATAGCATTTATACAGAAACCTATCATAAATAAATAAAGATATATATATATATAATATATATATTATATATATATATATATATATATATATATAGATATATATATATATATATATCTATATATATATATATTATATATATATATATATATATATTCCAGTATATCCTCCGTGAGCGGTCACAACGTGGTTTATTTCGACGTTTCGGCCAAGAGTATGGCCTTCATCACTATATATATATATATATATATATATATATATATATATATATATATATATATATATATATATATATATATATATATATATATATATATATATATATATATATATATATATATGACGCAGGAGGCATGATGGCTGTACGATGAACCATTTATTTGTCTTCGTCTTCCTCCTTCTCTACCATTCCACCACACCGTTATCGTGTGGTTCGTCACACGCTTCCCCCCTCCCACGAGAGAGACGTAGGTGCAGGGGCGGATAATATCGTTTAAGTCTCCCGACATGAACGATGTCAGTCTGGCGACCGAGTGGAGCCATGCTGTGGTCGATCTCGTAGTTAACTGCCGAAATCTTGCGTATGATCGTATAGGGTCCTTCCATGATTGCGCTGAGTTTGCCGCGGTTCGGGTGCCAGGGTGTTTCATATAGAACAAAGTCTCCCACTTGAAGCTCTAATGAAAGGAACTTCTTGTCATATATGATCTTGTTTTTCTCGTGATATGCCACTCAATTGCGGACTGCGTTTGTACGAGCTTCCTGCAGATTTTCGGTAACGCCTGAAAGAAGATAGGGATACGATGGTGTGCCATACATAAGAAACCAGGTTGGGTAACCTGTGACTTCGTGAGGTGTTCTATTGTACTCGTCGACAACGTCCGAGAGGAGACGCGGCCACGATATTCGGCGTTTGTCGTTGATCTTGCATCGGAGGCGAGTAACGATCGTCTGCATAGTGCGCTCGTTTAGGCCATTACACTGCGGGCGTTGTGAGCTTGTTAAAAGCTGATGAATATTATTGTGCTTGAGGAACTGCTTAACTTTGCCGACAGTGAGTCCTGTGCCGCGGTCGGAAAGGAACTTCCGCGGCTTTCCAGCAGCGAAGATACTCTTCAGGCAAGAGATGTACGCGTCGCAAGTCTAATTCTTGTGTGCGAAAGCCCAGACATAACGGGTGGCATGATCAACGGCTAAGTGAATGAATCTTTTGGATGAGCCGTAGTTGCGAAAACCTCCGATAGTGTCCATGGCCAGAAGATCCAATGGTTGTTCCACTGGTGGCAAAGACTCCGAGGAACCAAATTGTTTGGTCTTTGGTTTCTTGCAGCGCTGGCAAGTATCGCAGTGGCGTATGTACTCGCTCACGTCGGTGATGATGTCGGGCCAATAGTACTGTGGAGAGAGAAGCCGCAGCGTCTTCTTACCCCGACATGACCGAAAGTGTCATGAGCTTTTTGGAGAAGAGAAGACCGGAGGGCAAACGGCACATAGACTTTTCGTATTCCCCTGCGTGTCACTATACTCAGTCCATTCTCAATGGTATGATTTCCTGGTGGGTTGTCGTTGTCATGCTCTCGCAGTTGCTCAGCAAATAGGAGTTTAACTACCAGGCTTCGAGATAGTGCATCAGCTTCAATGTTGTCAATGCCCTTTTGGTGTTTGATATTCACGTCGTACATGGAGAGTTTCAAGGACCACCGGAAAAGTCGGCCTCGGGGATTCTTGATTCTTTTAAGCCATTGCAACGCTGCTTGATCTGTGATCACAGTGAAAGGTTTCCCGTGTAGATAGCAGTGCCATTTATCGGTGGCGTCAATAATTGCCAAACATTCGCGTTCTGTGATGGCGTAATTATTTCATGTTTTAGTAACTTCCGTGAATGGTATGCGATTGGGGGCTCTCTACCTTCATCAGTCAGCCTGCTTCAAGACGGCGCCGATACCTCTGTTGGATGCATCGCAGTATAGCACACAAGGCTTAGTGGCATCGTAGATGTTAAGGATTGGCTCTTCCGTCACGCATTTCTTGAGCTGAGTAAAAGCCAGTTCACACTCCGCATCCCAGTTCCAGGTGGCGTCTTTGCTGAGCAGGCGCGTCAGTGGGTGAGCGATTTGACTGAAGTGGTCGATGTATCGCCGGTAAACATTGACAGTGCCGAGAAAACGCTGCAACTCTTTAGGGCGTGATGGTGTCGGAAACCGTAGGATTGCGTCCACGTTGCTTTGCTTTGGAGTGACGGTGCCATGCGAAACCTTGTGTCCCAGGTTACTCAATGGAGGTTCGAGCGAATTGACATTTCTTTAATTTAAGCTTGACGCCTTTGCTTTTGAAAGCTTTCAAAACGCCCTCCAGATGCCTCAGATGGTCTGAAAACGTGTCAGAGTACACAACAATGTCATCGAAGTAATTTGTGACGTTCTGCAAACGGTGTTTTGCCAATACAAATTTGACAGCCCGTTCGAAGGTGGCCGGAGCATTCCGAAGGCCGAAAAGGCATGACGAGCCACTCGTAGTGACCGGTACGTGTGACAAACGCCGTTTTCGGAATCTCATCAGGGTGAATCTTCACGTGCCAGTAACCTGACGTTATGTCTAATGTCGAGAAGTATTTCCCCAGAGAATCGAGAACGCCATCGATGCGAGGAATGGGCTGATAATCAGGCACCGTCAATTCGTTCAGCTTGCGGTAGTCTATGCAGAAGCGCGTGCGTCCTTCCACTTTTTTTTCTGCCAGAAGTGCTGGCGCAGCGTATGGGGAGGTAGACTGTCGTATGACACCTTGCTTGAGAAGCTCGTTGATCATTCTGTACATTTCAACGCTGTCAGTTTCTGAGCATCGATAGGGAGCTCTACGAATGAGAACATTGTTGTTGAGATGAATGCGATGCATTTCGCCGTTAATGCACCCAATGTCTGTCTGTGACTTGGAAAAAATGTCATCGTACTTGTGGATAAGCTGCTTCAATGCCAACTGTTGAGTTTTATTTAGATGTAGTACATCACAAACTTCAGCACCTTGCAAAGACGCGCCCTTGTTAACCGTGGTTTGGTTCTGTGTACGAGAATGGAGGATGTTTTTCCCTTGGCGTAGAGTCATAGTGTCAAGGTCCAGCGACAAGTTAAAGAGGCAAGCACTATCCAAGCCAAGAAGTAAGTTGCTCTTCATGCCTTGTAGAACATGAGCTTGAATTTCTCTTGTCACTTTTCCTATCTGTACCTTTAGATTAACGCAACCCAAAGTTTTGGTAGATGATGTGACTTGTTGAACTGAGATGCATGAATTCCTCATTATTTGCAGGTGAAGTGCCTTCAGCACTGCTTCGTTGATACAGGTAATTGTAGCTCCGGTATCAAGTGTAGCGCTGACAGGGTACCCGTTAATGAGGGCATCAAACTGAATTACATGAACTCTGGGTCGCCCTCCTCGTTTCCCTGGTTGGTGGAGACGGCGGAAATGCTTGCGCGTCGTGGGCATTCATTATGCCAGTGCATCTGTCGTGGTAAGCCATCCATCGCGCAGTGTTTGCACTCACGCACGGGTGTTCGTACCGGGGAATTACGTGGACGCTGACTAGTTCTGTCACTTGTTACGTTAATCTGTGTATTTCGAGCTGGTGGAAAGCGATGTAACTTCATTCTCTGCATGGTTGACTCTACACGAAGTGCAGCTGTAAGCCATGCCTCTGGTGTAGACGAGGTAAGCCCAGCAAGCGCCATCTCCATATGCGCAGGAAGGCCGTCGATGAGCCCTGATATAAGGTGCGTGTCCTTTAAGTCGGCGAGGCGTCCGAGAGACATTTTTTCATTATAGTATTCCTGCAAGCTCTGGCCTGTTCGCAACCGGCAATGAATGAATTGGCGAAAAGGATCCGCGACGCCGCTCGTAAAGCGTCCATTCATGCGTTCACATAAGCTCTCCCAAGACGCGTCTGTGTCGAAAATCTCGGTGAGAAACCATCGGAAAGCCTCACCTTCAAGGTAATCGGAGAAATAGCACAGCTTGTCTCGCTCCGTCCATGCTGCGGCCGCAGTCCTCACCTCAAAGAGTCGGAGGCACTTGTCAAAGGGAACGTCCGTAGATGCTCCCGAGTACTTCGGGATGTTGATGACTTTCTTGGATGTGGCCATGATGAAGGGCACGGTAGATCCTTTCGACTAGTGTGACGCAGGAGGCGTGATGGCTGTACGATGAACCATTTATTTGTCTTCGTCTTCCTCCTTCTCTACCATTCCACCACAGCGTTATCGTGTGGTTCGTCACATATATAAATATAAATATATATATATATATATATATATATATATATATATATATATAATATATATATATATATATATATATATATATATATATATATATATATATATATATATATATATATATATATATATATATATATATATATATGGTTCCTCGCTCGATGGGCGCTTCGGCCTACAAGAGTACCAAATTAGCCTGCTCTACTGTTCCGGTGGAAAACGCTCAAACGCAGGCGTGTGTTTCGCTCCCCACTACATGGCTTGACCAATTTCCCTATACACCGTTAGCCGAGTTTTCCCTTCTGTGTAAGGAACATGGTTTTAGAGGAGAAGAATGAACCCTTAGTTGTTTTATGTTCAACTTTCCGCATATGCCATCGACCCCTCCTGCCAACCGGTCATTGCGTCGCCAAGCACACTTCTTGACCATTCGAGATGTACTTTTATGTCACCGTTATTACCCTACGCGTGGCTGAAAATGTAAGCTCGTTCTTTCTCTTCATTTTGCTCGGGCATAAGGGTGGCACTTAACGATCACCCACAGT